TACAGAGTTGGGCTCACTTCAACATTAGGATAATGTTGTCATGTTGTTAAAGAGGCCTTTAAGTGCTTCAATGTCTTTGCAATTTAGCCAGTGTCCCCATTACCTTTCCCCTGACCAAGAACATGCATCAATCAAAATATTCTGTAATCAGTGGCATTAATGTCCCACCCGTTCCATTTGTCATAGCTGCGCCATTTACTTGGCCTACTGCTTTGCCAGCTGAGATAAAGAAAGAGAGCAAGAGAGAGATAGAAGGGAAGGCAAAGAGGAGGAGCCAAGAAGAACTAAGCGAAAGATGGATAGAAAGAAAACATGGCATTAATTTCATTCTGCATCTTCCCTCTTCTATGTTTGACTTTTATTGAGGGGGATCAATAGTGTAGGAGTTCCAGGCAGCCCTGAGATGGAGAAGTCCTGTAATCACTGATGAAGTATATTGGCTGTCATCGTAGTCACCCACGTCAGTATTTGAGACTTATAGCCCTAGCAGAATGTTCCATCCAGTGGTTGCAAAGCAACCCAAAGACCCTGATCCTACATAAATTCAGTTATGTCAAAGGTAGTTGAGGAGACAAGCAGGGTTTTGTTCATATTTGAGAGAAGGTAGCTCACTGATTCTTTACAATTTGTTTGGTGAAGAAGAAACCCACCACAAGAGTGGCAAAGTGTAGAAACCCATCACGGTCTGTCAGTCTTTCTTGACTCCTCCTTTATTGTGACCTTCTTTTCAACTTGCTTCAGTGTCCACTTGCATGTTCTTTACTCTCTGTCTCACTGTCCTTCCATCACTCTACATGTGTGTACATACCGTTGTACTGAATGTATAATTCATACCTGCTAATGGGGGCCTAGTGCCATAGAACCAGTACTCCAAGTATCAGATCTCACTCCTGGTCATCCGACACCATGCTATGTGCAGTAACATATACTTTAATTATGGCTCCAGTGGAACCAGCACAGAATCTGATGTCCTGTGACATTGGGGATGTCTCAGTGGTGTGGGAGGAAGGATCTTGTCAGCTTGGATGGGTCCATGTGAATGACTATGTATAGCACCATTTACAATTACAGTCGCATTTATTGCATGTGGTAAATGCTCTTATCTAGAGCCAATTACAAGTTAATCATGTAACAGAAGTGTGTGAATATAATATTAGGAGTCTTGTCCAAGGGCTCCACTGGGTGTAGCATAGTGTGCTTACCCAAGCAGTTAAGGTAACACCAGTTAGCTACTACACTTTACTAACTACAGCATTTTCTGGGCCTTAATAAAAATCAAACACTCATTGCTTTTCCCAGTGTGAGTGCAATAATTTGAGACATAATCAAAATTTTCTGTTACTCTTTCTGTGCTTCCCTCACTAATGCGTTCGTAACAGCTGTTGTAAGTTTGAACAAGCTTTCCAATGGCAAAATCCCATTCAAACTAATGCATTTAAGGTTGGAGTTTAGATTTCTAGATGTTGAGATTCCAGTTTAAAATGCTGCTCTACCGAGATGGACTGTGTTGTTGTAGCTAATCGAAACGTTTCCTGAAAGCATCTTAGCACAAAGATGAGTCTTAAATGGTAGAGCATGTATCTCACTGAGCACTCTCTCTAAAAAGTATTTGGGAAGCTGGGCACAGGTCTAAAACATTGAATGTGCCTCCATGCTAAAGTTAGCTTTGTTACACAAAAAATTACACCGAGCTATCATTAAAATTTTAACAACATTGGTTTCTAACAACACCGCTTTGTGGGCATAGCATGAATAGGTAAGTTGCAGATCATGTGTTTGTGTTTGCATCTTTGTGTACAACAACATACAGTGGCTGTCAAATTTCAAATGGAAAACTGTTTCACAGCTAATTGTAAGTATCTTGTCAAGATAAGGTGGAAGCCTATTGGCATGCTCATTTACTAGTAGTGAAATACCTTTGCAACCCACACCAAAAATGACTCCCATAGTCCCACCCAATGCTTATATTTGGGAGGTTTGTTTGTTCATCTATATATTTTGCTCAAGTATGCCTCATTTACAACAGAAATGGAATTGCAAGCAGGATTGCTAAAAAGCATTTTACTGTTGGCAGATTTGGAGCATTACGATGATGAAGTGCATTTGCAAATTAAAAATAGATTGTCAAAGAGACTTTGCTTTTCCATTTGAAATTTGGCAGTGACGGTGCACTGTTGTACACAAACATGGAAACATAAATACACAGTGCAGTTTGATTTATGTCTTAAATGATGTGCATGTTAAGACATATCAGTATTGACAGATAAGTACTTAAAAAAATTACTGCCATTGGACAGATAATTAGATTTGACTGATATTTCAAACTGACATTTGATCATGTATTTATTGACCTCCAGAAGAGCAGAATGTTTAGGCCAGAGGTGTCCAGTTGTATACGCTAAGGGCTGCCGTGTCTGCGGGTTTTCATTCAAACAAAGCAGGAGCACACATGATCTGTTGTTGAGAACTAAGACCAGCTGATTAAACAAGTGGAATTAGATGAACACCTACTTGTTTGCACCTGCAGCCAGACCAGCCCTTTATGGATAAGACTGGACACTCGAGGTTTATTCAGTACTGGGCTACTGTGCTAATTATGTCTGCATTTTATTCATATATCTGCATTCCTTTTTGTTACCCTATAGAGATAAATGCTATATTTCTCTCTAATGCTAATCCAAGCATCGGCAGATACATACATGAAAAATATCAGAGATCGGCATAGGCCCAGAAATACCATATTAGTGCATTCTTAGATTAAATTAGCATTTTGAATAAAGTCTGGTAAATACTGCTGTAAGTATGAACGTTGAAGGTGATTTTGTTAAAGATTGCATTTTTCTGTCTGAAAGAAATCTATCAAACATTGCCATGGCAAAAATAAAAAGACCGAATGTATAAAAGTCCTTGAAAAGAAGAGCAAAAGCAAAAGAGGGAGGTAAAAGTGAGGTAATCTCTTTTTCTCTTTCTTGCATTCTTTTTTTCCGCCTGTTTTCTTTTTTAAAGCTTATTAAATATTTAGCGAGCTGAGGGAACCCAGTCCGAGTGCGATAATGATTGATGGCTGAACGGGAGTGCAGCAGTTAGCACTAAAAAACACGCGATCAAGTTACAGTCCTTATCGATGTCACACCCATTAGAGTCTGCTAATAGTAACCAATCACTTGTACTGTCCTCCTCGATTTCCTTCAGGACCCATCCACACTTTCAGCCCTCTCCTCAGTTCACTCCTCTCCTTTCATCCGTCCGTTTCCACTCCTCCTTGATGTTTTCTCGTTGGACACCATCTTGGCCCCCTTCACTAATCTGTCATATTCAGGTCAGAGATGAAAGACAAGCACCTATCATTTTGTGGTCAGTTTGATGACTGCTCAGATCATACTGGCTCCAAAGGGAATGTGTTATTGTAGTGTATAGTGTACTAGAATGTGGTATGATGCTGTCATCACACTTGTAATAGGTAGCCATGATGACTTATGTCTTTGACTAATAATATGCATAATTATTAAAGTGGTCTTATCTAATCTCCTGTAATTGTATAGCATTCTGATATGAAGTTTGGCATGCTGTTGTGTAGCTGCACAATGTTATCATCATTGCATTTTGCAGTGCTGATATGGCAGAAGGCCCAATCATAGGTCTAGATGAGTGTTTGTTTGTATATAATTGTACTCTTAACAGTAGTATTTTGTCCATTTGGTACATATTTTGTTACACCAATATATGAAATAATGTGGTGCTTTCTTGCAAAATGTTTCTGATACAGTAACAAGTAACAATCAAGGCTGTTAAAAAGTGATAACACTATATGTATATGTAAAATGTAGGTATGTCACAATTACTGGATTAAAATAAATAAATGAATAATAATAATAATTATAATAATACATTGGAAAATAATAAGCTAAAATCAGCAGTGATCAGTTGGCAGTTTACATGATGATAATGCACACATTTTTTTTTAAAAATACACAGTTTTTGAAAATTTTGATCACTTAAGTATACCAGTGAAGTTAACTGGTAGATTGCTCAATTGCTAATGTATTTGATAAGTACAGTTCTTACTATGTATTTATGTGTTATATAAAGAATGTTTGCTATGCTTCAGTGGTGGGCACGACACAATGTTTAGGACCAGTTTCCTAAACATGTGATGAAACTATACTGTTAGTTGTGTTTCACCATTAAAAATCTCTTAGGCTTAATCTGGGTCTGGGGAACCAGCCCTTAGAAAATGTCCCTCAGGCCAAGCACAGTATTTTCCCATTTTATTTTTTATTCAAAAACATTATCCACATACTTTTGTGTCAATGCAACATTATTACATTATTACATAATGATAAATTTTGAACCACCTTTTTTCAGAGCTACACTTATTTGGCAATATTTAGCGATTCAGTCTGCCTTAAACTGCATATGCATGAACTGTGTGATCAACTCTACCACCACTTTCCATGTACAATATGTAATTACCAAAAAAGCAAATTTGAAATAAATAGTACTTCACTTTGTAAATGGCTTTTTTTAAGACATTTACCTTTAGCATAATGCTCATTTCCACTAGTACTTCTATGGGATGTCATGCTAGCATTATGCTAACAGTGCCTAACAACATTGCACTAGCATAAACTTTGATCGATCTAGAGTCTGTTGCACTGATGAGGGAAATAACTGAGGAATGAGCCATTTAACAATTAATAGCCAATAGCTCTTCTCAAATCATCTACAAAGACTTTATTTAATTTGTAAATTAAATAAAGACAACTGCTGATTGTATTAACTTATCCATTACTGGAAAACAGCAAATGTGGACAAAACGCACACAACATTGTCACAAGGTTGTCTACTTTCTTACAGTGTTTGCTACAACATTATCAAAAGGTGGTGCTGTTTACAATGTCAGAACAAGACTGTCATTATTCAGTAATGTTGCCATATAACGTAATTTACAATGTAATGGAATGTACATAGACTCTAGCAGGTTGTGACAACGTTGCTGCTGTGTTGTCACAGTGCATTTCAACGTTGTGTAAAATAGCAAGAATTGTGGAGACAGTGTAGACTTCTGGTGTAAAACTCTGAATATTATTGGAGGAGCCTGTTAGGCTGTTTAGCTGTCTGCCAAGCTGGTGTTAAATAAAGTCATCTTCTTATCTAGGGTTTCAACATTATTGAGACAATGTTGAGAAAGTCAACATTGTAGAAGGAAAGTATAAAACATTCATTTTAAGGCCATTTTGGGAAATCTTTGGAAGGTGAGGGAAATGTATGAAACAGTTTGCTGAAATCTTCATTTTTGACACAAATTGAAAAGCAACTGAGTTGTTAATTGCCAAAAAAGCATGAGGTTATTGATTACATATCCAGCTAATCACCATCCAACAGTAACACTTTTCCCCCAGAGTCTAATGTAACACTATGGTTTGTACAGTAGCTGCAGTTGCTCCGGCAGCAGAATGGCACAGCTCTAGCCTCTTTTGGCTCTTGCCCACGCTCTGACGGCTTGGGTGGCCGGCCTGCTCCTGTGGTTAGAGGTTTCAGACGTTTCCAAACCCTCGCTGAACCACACTGGCCTCTGGTGAGCCACAGCGTCCGTGAGGTGTAGAGTGACAACACACAGGCTGCCCTCAGCGCCCAGTGGTCGAGGAGAGAGCCACTCACACACACACACACAAACACACAGAGAATGACATCAAATTTATTCATGCACATCAACTTCTCTTTCTCTCTATTTTTTAAGTGCACATACAGTGGTAAAAACTGTGTATTCACATGATCAAAGTGGAAAAAAAATTATAGAAAATTAGTTTGTTTTTGTTATGTTGAAGTTTTTGTGCGCAGTTTCTGAGCATAACGTCCAAGAATCAGATCCAAATATCTCTCTCTTTTGCTCTCTCTCTCTCTTTCTGTCTGTCTGCTACCCCCAATTACACTGAAAAAAATGAACTTGGCCCTTAGTAAATTTTACATAATAAAATTGTGCATGTTTTTCTCAATTTAAATGTGTTTTTGCTTCAACCAAATAATAATAAGCAATGCTGAAAACCGGTAAGCTAAGCATATGAAACATGCTTAAAGTGAATTAGAAATAATTATGTTGTGTCAAGGGGTAGAAACCGCGCATGCACAACCTTTTCCCCAGCTGACGGCAGCCATTTTCGACACCTCGTCTCTGAGAAGATTTGGCTGACCTGAGAAAATTCTGTCCTCTTACATTCACAAGGTAGGAGATTGTCTATTGTTTGTCATTATGGACATAACATGTTCATGACATTTACGCAGGAAAATATTGGCAAAAACGTAAGGTTAAGGGAGGACTTAGCATGTCTTAAAATTCGCCAGGTTAGTTTAAACCGACGCAGATCCGGAGTACACGTAACGTTACTCAGTCAGATAATCACTAAACTCACTAAAGCTGACCGCAGTGTTTTAACTGTAAAGGTCAGTGTTTTAATTCAATGTGTCCTTCATAAGTATCATGTTGAGGTCACTTGAGGTCCTCACTAAGTTGGCTCATGAACACAGCCGTTAGCTAACGGTACTGTTGACCTAGCCTAGCTAAGTAACGGCGCCATTTTCTGAAGTTCACTGCAGACGAGTGCGTTTAGCTGCTGTGTCATCGTACAAGTACACGGTAAAATATCGTTTAGATGGTTGTAGATGCACAGAACGCAGCGTTGGATATAACTTTGATGAAAACGTACAGTTAAGGGACGACTAGAATAGCATAAGTTTGTGAAGGGCTCGATTCAACGCATATTCGAAGTGAACAGACCTAGCTAGCGTTAGCTAGCTGTGTGTCCTTGACGTGACCTGTAATAATCTTTTCCCGCGGAGGAGGCTGTGCTCGCTTCGCCTGTGATTTCGGATGTGATATTTGGGTACTAGGTGTCCACAAACCTGTGTAATTTCAGCCTTTGTTAGCTAGCTAGGTTAGCTCCACCGAGCCTGGGGTTTGGATATGGAGCCTGCTAACGCTATTGTAGCTAGCGTTAGCTTAGCAAATACAGCGTTAGCAGCTAGTAGGTTACAGACATCAGCTAACTGGTTTAATTTCAACGTTTGTCCATTTAACACTTAATGCTCTGTTCGATGAACCCAGTTTGCAACGTGCTGTTCCAACATGGACTCTGATACCGTTAGCGCAGCTAGCTAGCGTTAGTTAGCTAAGCAAACGTTAGTGTTAGCAGCTAACTTAACCTAGGTAGTAGGCTACAAGCACCATGAAGCAGGTTTAAGATTAATGTCAGCGTTCTGTTCCGTCAACACCAATCACTCGACTTTGCTCTATCAGAACTGTCAGTGGAGATTTAGTTCGGCATAATAGAATCCATTATCCTGTTAATTAGCAAGCCTACGATAACTGTTCAGCCCTGTAGTGGAAAAGAGGTTTATGTTTGCCCATATAACAGCAGAGTGTCACTGCTCATTATTATAATCAGAATATAAGTTTGTATATGAGATGGTGCACACATACTCACACACACACACGCACACACACTCACACATGTCTTTTGCTTATGTAACCCCTCTGTCATTGTTACCAAAATGGGGTTTACCTTATGTTTAGTCAAACTGCCTTTATGTTAAACGTTATGGTCTTCAAGTGCCAAGTGGTATAAGTAATTATTATACATTGATTTTGATGTTCAATAATGCACAAACCCTAGACAGGGAATCCTGATAGCCATATTGATTAAAAGAACCTTGATGTGACTTAAATATCATAGTTGATTTCAAACTAAAATAATGCCTGAAGAATTAAAACAAATAGCTAAATATGAGTAAAATAATATATTATTGTAAAACTATTAAATTTCAGCTAAATTAATGCACTGTTATGTCCTTCCACATGGTGAGATAAAACATTAAGGTAAAGTGATAAAACATTAAAGTAAAGCTTATGTTTAAGATAAAATGTTAACATGGTCTTTCATTTAATTATATTTAAATGTCCTCTTTGTTTATAGGTTAAGGCTTAACAAGGTTGTTGAGTGCCATGTTTTAAAGGATTCTCTGGCATGTTCTAAGTCTCTGGTAAGTGCTTTTCTATAACCCAGATTAGATATTTAACTATGAGGCTATTTGTTTTGTAAAGCTACTTTTTATTTATTTGTTTTATTGTTTAAATTAGTAATCATTTTCTCTAAGATGATTGGGATTTTGATGTTCATATGTTTCTTTTACCTGTTCCTTGTACGCTTGTCAAGTTAATGTACCATTTTTTTTTTTTTAAACAGTTGAAGGTATATTTTAACAAGTGCAATCAATATGTGCAGGCGAAGAATGTCCACCATAAAAGAGAAGCCATCATAAAAGCTCTTTGTCCGCACCTGAATGATGATGGATTTCTTAACAAGGAGTACAGGGTAAGTCAGTATGTGACCTGAGCACATCACCATCATTCTAATTCAATTCTAATTTCTAACTAAGGTAAATTCATCTTATTTTACATTTGAGCTCTTTTAAATACTGTGTGTGTCTTCCAGGCAACTCGGTTCTTATATTAATTGCTTATAACTTTTGCTTAATAAAATCAGCCCCCTCCCATCTGTGTAGTAAATCCAAATCGAAACGTGGCGTTGGTGTGTTAGTATGTTAGCACCATCCATAGACTGTAGGTGCTAGTATAAGAAGGGTGAACCAGAACCATCCATTTTGTAATGTGCATTTTACTATTGAACGGAGTTTTGTGGAGATGGGGGCTGATTTTATTTAGATTCATCATAAAATAAATATTTGATGTTAATAAACTGTCAGAGGTGCCTGGAAGTATTTAGAAGAGCTCAAATGGGATATAAACTGAACTTACTCTTTATGGAGCAAGAGAACAATGGAGTTTAGTATTAATAACAGTATTTAATTTGTAGGACATTCATGGTGAAAACCTATTGAGAGACCAGCACAGCACTGAAATGGGCATTTATGTCATCAGAAGAGGGTGGAGCTCTTGGAGAATATGAAGACGTTGATGCTGATGGAAACATTATTGTAGGAAACATCAAATCAGTTGCACCAGACTGCAGTAATGCTTGGAGTAATCTGTGCACTGAATATGGCTCATCACAGTGGGCAGAAATGCTGCTATGAATTTGTACATTGCTCATGCCAAAGGATGGTGCAAAGCTCTCCCCTAATATTCTTGGTTTGGAGAACAAAATCTTGGGATAGTCAAAGTAGGTTGTCCATTCTGGAAATATATGGAACTTTTCACACTAGCTTCTACTTTGATTGAAAAGCAATGGACTTTTGAACAACGCTTAAATCACATGAAACAAGAATGGCTGTATTTGTCAGCATCTCTTAAAATTCAGTGACATTTCAATGATTTTCTATACAACATGTCAAGATCCTGGTCATGTTTAAGAACAATTTGTCTTAAAACAGCATGCAGTTAAAAGTCTTTTTTGCTAAAACTGTACAAAGTAGCCTTTTGAACAATTTGAGCTCTATAAATTTTCACCCTAAATTTGCAAAGTCTAACAAGCACAATAAGGTTGTGCTAACTAGAGGCAGTGCTTTGGCAAGAAGGTTGTACTCTGTAGGCACTATTTCTGGGGCATTTTGATCATTGTTGACAATTGGATATTGTATAAAGTCATATAACATTAATATTGTCTTATTGTGCTGTTCTGTTTTAAATATCTGCTGTTGTAAAGTTGCACTTAAGATTGGTGTTATACATAATTACTGAATGTTACTTCATTGTTTCACAAATTCTGGGCCATTACTTAAGACTTAATTAATTGTGATTAAAGGCACACACATTTAGGTGAATGTGTTTATAATTGCAGTGTTCTGTTTGAAGCTTATTGTTGTATGTAAAGTTGCATTTTAGCTTGTGTTGCCTGCAAGACAAGCAGTAATGTATTGATACCTGTGCACTTTCAGAGAAGTATTTAGTCTATTTTTAATACTCTGCTTTATTTTGTCTACAGTCTTGTTTTGTTACTTAGTATTCAGCGTTTTTCTATAGTGGTAAAGCAAATGTGTGTTTTAGTTGATCCTAACATGCATGTGCATTTGATGTACCTTAATAAAGTCACTGTAATTTTTTTTATTGTCATGATAGTCATTGTCTTGACCAGGTGTTTAAATAGATGGAACATTAATAAGTGTAGTTGAAGTTTAATTTGTGAAAATTAACGTTTAAAATTGTACATGAATAAATGCTCTGTGATATAATTAAGCGGTTGTACATAATAAACAATGAGTAACTCTTTGGAGTAACTATTTAACGAAATAGCATGAACATGATTAAATTTAGTTAAAATTACACTTCAAGGAAATTTTACAAGATATAATTAAGCTGACAACTTACAAGCAGAGAGTAAATGTCATCAGAAATGCATCAAATTTGAGTTTTAACTAAAGTATTTATAACAATCTACATAATTTGCATAAGTAGAAAGAACATGATTAATTTTAGTTAAAGTTACTTAAGTTATTGAAGTAAATCCTGCAAAATATAGTGAAGTTGACATTGCTTATAGGTAATGATTACTCAAATTATATATCTGAATGTAGATAATTTAATTTCATGCAACATGACGAAAAAAATTAAGTAAATTCAAAGAGTCATTTTTTTGAGTGTATGTGTATTTTATTACTAGATATAATTTATTCCTGTATTTCATTTGTACAGAAGAATAGTTTTGGCTTTTGGCTGTAACCTCATGCCTTCACAATTTCTCTCTTTCTCTCTCACTCTCTCTAACTTTATCTTTCTCTCATTCTCTCTTTCTCTCTCCCTCTCACACTCTCTCTCTCTCTCTCACACACACACTCCTTGGGTCATGCCCTTATTGTGTTGCATGGCTTGGGTTTCATCCTGACAAGTGGTAATTGATTCCGCTGTAGGTTGCGCCGGTGGTAAGTGGGGGTGGGCTCTCCAGTTTCACTGAAAACAAATCGCTCTTTTCTGGGACCTGACCTTCTCCCCACCACCACCACCCCACCCCACTGTCCATCCTGCCTCTCCTTCACTCTTTCATCCTTTCTTTATTTCTTCTGTTACTTCCTGCACCACCAAGTTAAGGTTCAAAGGGAGACTTTATGTATGTAAAGGTAAATAGATATCTACATATCAGCATGACATAATCTTGAAAGCACAAATGATAAATGTACAGGGTAATACTGACAAGGAGAACCCAATTTAGCAATAGTTTCTTTATTTCATTTGCCTTCATTTGCATTACATATAATATGTATTATAATACATTACATTGTCTGAAGATTGTGAGTTGTATCCCTGGAAGGGGAAATAAAGTGGATAAATCACATATTTAGCATTTCTAGAGTTGTCATGACAAATAACCTCACACAAGTCCACCAGAGTGATGTACACAGAGTGTTGAGAGCATTAAAAATGAACTTAATTATTCAGATAGTCAATTACAAAACACACTTGTACACAGCAAAAACACTACTCGAATCCTGAACTACTAATATATAAAAATACTTTAAACTGGATGACTATTCTTACTTCAAATGTTGTGTGTAAAATGTGTGAAATGTGTCATGAAACCTGCATCAACATAAGGATCATTTTAAGAAATTAAATATATATGAAAATATATATTTATACACATAATTACATACATTTTAATGGAGATGTAAGATTTCTTTTAGCATCATGCATAATATAAAAATAGGCAGCATCTGTACACTATTTGAATTATAATTCATTATTTGTCATCTTGTCACTGTGATATCCAAAAACTCAAACATCACATTTTATGTCTGCATTGTGCATACCATATCCCCGGCAGAGGCACAGCCATCTGTGGCTGTTAGCCCAAGATAGCATAATTGGCCTCACTTTGTTTGGGTGGGTTTTATGGCCTTCCCTCTTTCCCCCCAATCACTCAGAATGATGTTAGCTGAAACAGTATAATTGGTAGTTAGCACTTTCTTCCAAGCCTGTTGAGTTGTCCAATGACACTTCACCTGGTCTTCACATGTCTCTTAGTAAGCGTAGCCTTCACCCTTCCAGCTTAATAGAGTTATGGGATGGTGGGGACTTAACAAGCAAGTGGAAGTGGTAATGACTGACTTGGGGGAAAAATGGGTAGAAGTCATTTTAAAAATCCTCAGAAGAATTAGCATTAATAAATAGTGTACACATTAAAAAAATACAGTGACTGAATTCTATTGAGAAAAGATATTAAGAAATGGTACATATACAAAATTACTGTTGTAACACAAACTGAATCTAGAACCTGTCCCAAACACTCTGCTTTATTCGCAATAGTGCATTCTCTTAAGTTTACTCTGTATGGTCATAACATCTAGGCTGTGCCCTTGTTCAAAGAGATGAAAATAGAACTTCTCAGGAAAAAAAGCACTCTCTAACAATCATAACCAGAATCCCTGGAATATGATTTTTTTCTTCCAGCTATTTCCCACCTTAGATAGGGCTATGCTTTTGAAATGTCATATGCTGTACTAGAGCACCATCTACTGTCAGCTTTGTGTACTGCAGTTTGAGTAATTGGCTGCAAAAAACAGTACTGAGAAAGATCTTAGGAATCTGACAAAAAAAGCCATTTTCTGGGCAGTAAGCATTTATTCTTCAAACCATACTAACATTTTGATAAATATATATAAAAAATATAAAAATACATTGTGATTTTATGTTTTATCAGTATGTTAGCTTAACCTAGGAGTGTCCAATCTTATCCATACATTTTGGTGTGGCTGCTGATTTTCACTGCACACATGATCAGTTGTTTGATTGAGACCTACTGATTAAATAAGTAGAATCAGGTGACCTGCTGCCTGTTTGGAATTAAAACCCGCAGCCACACCAACACTTTGCGGATAAGATTGGAAACCACTGGTTTAACCATTTCCAAAGATCCCGAGTCCTAGTATTTGTAGTTACCTCCAGTCCCTAATTTGGCTAATCGGTCCTTCATGACTGGCAATTAAACTGAACACAACCATGAACAAACAATGACTGGAGCACTCCACAGAGGCACAACCGTGCCCGCCCTTCTGGCCACCCCTTTTACGTAAAATGAGACAGCCATCATTGATAAAGCAGTCACCAATCAAAAAAGTCCCCCGCCCTTTGTGAATGGTTACGTGTTGCAATGATCGAAGTAGCTACCAGTCAGTTATGAAAGTATGATGATGTTGCATTTAATAATTACCATATCTTGCTGTGATAGGCTAATGCTCAGCAGACAGGCAAGTGAATGTGCACTGGGTCAGCAGGGCTGCTGTGTGTTCATCCTAACTGTTTACTTTTTACAGGTGAATACATGCATGTGTTGTAGGCTAGATTCCATCTGTGAAATAAGTTTGTGCTAAAAGTTGGCCAGCCTATTGTCTCTTATTTTACTCAATGCTGTCTGGCTAGCTTTTTAACCATTAGATTCACATATAGCAATGGCCTAAATGAATAACTTCTATGGCCTGTCTACATGAAACGGTTTTCTTAAAGTTGTGCACCAAAGAAAGTGATCAATTTTGTTTTTCATTTACTTTTGGCAGTAATATTTATGTACCCATTTATTCATGTGAAAATGATGACTAGATTTTGGCATGTACAGGAAACCAACACATCACTTTTAATGTCATTTTATGGCAGTAGCAGTATTTTATTTAGTTTTTTTTTCCTAGCAGTGTGCCACCCTGACAAAATCTCTGGGTCTTACCTGACACGCCATTCTATGCTATGCCCCTGGCATACCGAGACCTTTTTATTTATTTATTTATTTTAACTGTATTTATGTTTGTTTGTATTCCTTACGAAGTTCTATAGTGTTTAACTGGCAAAAACACATTTACTGTCAAAATAAATAGTTTTAAAGAATTTTCTTGGATAATACATACATAATATATTTTAGAGTCACCATGATTACTTATGACTTTTGACGTGAAGTATTGATTTATGTTAACCTGAAATCTGAACTGACCTTTTTACCTTAGTTCATGTCCTGGTTGGATTAAACACATTTCATGATATCATATCATTTAAATCACAAAATTCAGTTTTTTCCTGAAAGAAACCTTAGAGTTGTCCCATGGCAACTGGCCTAGGTACTGACAGGAAACCTCATTAATATCCATGACAAAAATCTTTTTTGGAGCAGGGTGACCTTTTTATATCTTTCATCTCTGAATAATCTATATCAATTTAAAAAAAAAACATATGACCAGAAAAGTCTGAAGAAAAAAAGATTAGATGAGGACAATATAGGGCTACATATGTGCTGCCTTCAGCCTGAAAAATCATAGACGTGTCTTCTAATGTCTTCAGCATTTGCATACACCAAGCTGCAGCGGCCACATTTGTAAAGGACTTTATTAGAATTTGTGTGCACTGCCTTTTCAATACCTCAGGGTTTGTATACACATTGCTGCTGATTGAGTAAAACCTCTGACACTCCCATCAAATAAGAGAAAACATACATAGAATCCCATTTAAACAAAACATGTCATTCAACCCGGAAACTGTAGAAAAACGGTGCACAATGTTTTGAGGTTGAACGTGCCGATATTCTCTAAAATCTATCCAAATTTTAGTTGTGAAGCCATTTTGAGCTCATAGCATGCAGTAATGAATAATTTCAATGTAAGATGCAAAAAAGTTAAAAATAGTTTTGGGAACTGACTGAAAGACACAGTTTAACAATTAGTTTAAACCTAACTGGGGCAAACTTTAAAAATGTAAAAACTATTTGGAGCACAGCTTTTATGCATGGATGAATGAATTAAATTTACGTATTCTCTTAAATGTTTTGTAGAAATCTATGACGTGACCTAGCAGGGCCTAGATGAGTAGCCGTGGAATGACCCATCCACCCCCCACACCCCTTCAGTATAGGATGCACATCCAAGTGAAGTTAGTGAGCTATGTGGCTACATTTCTGTGCTAGCTCCTTAGTAACTAAAATGCCATTGCTGTGACCCACTATCAACTTGTTAATCTTTCTGTTCGTCACAGCTGCCCTTACCTCTGGTTAATTGACTTGTTAAGATACTGTCCTAGAAGCGCTACATGTTGATCATGTTCATCATCATTTGATCCCTGTGCTCTGTGTAAA